TCTAGTAGCTTCTTGCAGAAGCCACCCTGCAGCTCCCCCGCTGCCGCCACCAAAATCCGGCCAGGCCAACCCAATACCAGTCTTTATTGGCAAGGCTTACCTTCCATAATGCCAGGTCCCCGAGGTTGGGGAGAAAGTCTGGAGCAAGGAAGACTTGCCCTCGACAGAGGAGAATCAGGCTAGGAAATATTTAAACAGAAGGACATATGCAATTCTGTTGGACCCAACAGGATGAACAAAGTGAAAGAGAAACTTTTTTACTGTGAGGGTGGTCAAACGCTCAGAAGGTACAGGTTGCCCCCTCAACCCTAGAGATATTCAAAACCTGACCAGACACAGTCTTAAGCAACCTGCTCCGGTTAACCCTGCTTTAAGCAAGCGGCTGAACTAGACAATCTCATGCGGTTCCCTCCAGCCTCAGCTATTTGGTGTTTCTGTGAATCTGTCCTGTCAGCAGTGAAGGAGAAACTTGGACTGAGTGGCACGTATCGGACCAGAATTCTCAGGCGCGTAGTGTGAAGCGGTGTCTATCTGGACACAGTGCAGAGGTGCTGAAGCAGGATGCAGCCTAGAAAGGCATTTCCAGTCAAGGCCAAAAGAATGGGAATAGTGCTTCCACTGCAAGCCACTGCTGCTAACCCCCAGCATGAATGCAATCTGCTCACCCAGACAGTACCTGAAACCATTAGAGTATCCAAATAAAACCAGATCACGGTATTTGACCCACTATGAAGTGCTTTTTCACACACCCACCACAGGCAGATGCAGTCTATTGCAGAAACACAAACAGATTATCTAAGATAATATTGTGCTTTGCAATCAGTAATTTGACCAGTACAAATAGGAAATAACAGGAAGAAAGAGAAGCCTCTCATTTGGCCTTAATTAAACTGTCTTTATTGAGGGCTATTATCTTCTCAGCAAGAGAGGACCCAGATAGAACAACTCCCAACAGCACAGAAGACCAAGGCATCGGCTTGGATACCGACATACGCCCACAGAACCTTATCATCTTTCTCATAATAGAGTCAAACATTTTGCCTTAATTTGGCCAAAACACCAAAGCAAATGTCATCTTACGCATCTATAATAAAATCAAAATAGAACACAGATAAAGAAGCCCAGATGAATAATCCAGATGCAGAACTGATGCAGCCCATAACGTTCTGCCATGATCTCCCACCCACCATCTCTGAGGGAAGAATGCAGTCCTACGCAACCAGAAAGATCACATCTGCATGGCACAGTCAACGTTCCATAAAACCCATGGCACACATCTGACAGGGTGATTCTTTAGCCATTATCCTCTTTATAGTCATTCTTTCACTCTCTCTGTATTCATAAATATTTAGTTAACTGTGTCATATGTCTTTCAAAGTCCCTTCCAACCCCTGACATTCTGCGGTTCTGTGTCATCTCAAATGATATTATAGTTAAGATGATGACCAAGAAGATACCAGTTTGTTACCTCAGGCAGTGGAAGGATAAGAACACGGTCTCTCTCCAAAGTGAGCAAATACCTTGATTGATCATTGAAGCCCTAGGTTAAGACTAGTTGCAACATTTCCTTTTCTGCTCTCATTTCATAAGAATACCAAATTAACTTGCTAAATCCATGAAGAGGATGCAGCTGTCTCTTCAAATACAAATACAGGAATCTAGCTCTGATGGAGGAACAGGGCTGGATCTGTACTGCTGACCCTAACATTTTCTATAGGTAGCTTCTAGTGCAGCATGATGACTTAGCAGTTATATTTCAGAATTCGCTTTCTGAATTTGCAAGTCTTAGGCATGCCTCTAGTAGCACTTCAGTACTGACTTTGATGCCGAAGTTTTAAAGACAAGATCTACCACCTACAGAAAGACAGCACAGAGTGTACAGCCATAATAATTCACCAGTGGAATTTGACTTTTGTCCTGGTTTGAGCTAAATTTAGGCACATCTCTAGTAGCACTTCAGTACTGACTTGATGCCAAAGTTGTAAAGACAAGATCTACCACCTATGGAAAGACAGCACAGAGTGTACAGTCATAATAATTCACCAGCGGAATTTGACTTTTGTCCTGGTTTGAGCTAAACAGCCCCGATTCTATTCAATGATTCTTCTCTCCAGCTCAGTCTCCTCTGAGAGACTGCACTTTCTGAAGTTAACAGCATGTTTCCGCAGACAGTGCCTGCTACTAGAAGTGATAACGCCTGATGTTCATAGTCACTACCAGGGACGGGTGCGCTGATACTTTCTCCCGCAGAAACCAAGGTCACCAATCCATCTTGTGCCCCACGCTGGGGTGCCATAAAGTAAAAAGTCGCAGGTAAAAAAAAAAAAAAGTCACAGGTAAGTGAAAAGTTGCACCTCTGGAGAGGAGCACACAGGAAAAGTGACCCAAAACGGACCAACAAAGTATTCTATTCCATACACGTCGTACTCAGTGTAAAGCTGAGGGGTCATTAAAGCCTCTTTTTCACTGGCCGGCATCCAAGGAGGACTCCGTCTGATCTCCTGCCTTCAATCTCGATCCTGAGTTCCCAAATCCAGCTCCTGTGCCCAGATCCCCTCGGCCACTGAGCCTGGGGCTGCCCCGGTGCTGCTGGCTCTGCCCCGTCAGTGGGGATGGCTGTCGGGAGGCAGTTGGGTTCAATCCCGGTTTGTTTATCTTTGCATATATTACATTATTTTAATTATTTCCTTATTAATACTATTATTGTTTCATTAAAGCCCGTCAGTGGGGATGGCTGTCGGGAGGCAGTTGGGTTCAATCCCGGTTTGTTTATCTTTGCATATATTACATTATTTTAATTATTTCCTTATTAATACTATTATTGTTTCATTAAAGCTGTTTAAGTTTTTTTGGTTTTTCTCCAACCCATAAGTCTCTCTGCCTTATCCCCTCTTCCCTTCCTCCTCTTGGGGAGGGAGAGGGGTTAATAAAGAGCATCTGTCACTCGTTTAGTGGCCGGCCCAGCCCTAGCTCATAACAACTTTGTACTATAGAAATAACATGACGCTGTATGACAAAAAAAGAAATTTTTAAAAGATGTGTATTTTTAGATTAGCAGAACTACTTCCCAGTTCACTAGGAATGTAAAACCACAAATATGTAAGTGCATGCGTGCTTCAACTCGAGACATAGGCCACATACGAAAAAATTTAGGTTAAACATTTTAGCTGCCAGAATAATCAGCTGGAAACATAAGAATATAAGAGGACACGACTAGGGGAAAAAGCAAAGGTCATACATGTGGCATGAAAGGCTTGCATCGGGTTTGTAATTTTTCATTCTGTTACAGTTTGCCAGAGTTTGATACCCGCAGAGTGGAAGATGGCACCGAAGAAAAAGCAGACGAAACAAGACACCCTGAGCGCTGAGAAAAATAAGCAAGGAGCAGGAACCAAGAATGAAAACATAGCCAAGGAACTAAGCAATATGGAAATACTTGTCAAAGAGAGGAAATCGTACCTGCAGAAGGAATGCCAGATTCTCACTGAACATATGAATATATACATGGGAAGAGTGGAGCACTTCCTGCAGGAAAACAAATTCCTAGAAAGGGAGGCCCAGCGGAATCAGGAAGAGAGCAATGCTTACCTCTCTTACATAAAAAACCACAGCCAGAAGTGCCAGAATCTGATAATAACATTAAATGACCAGAATCACTCCGATCTGTCTCGAGCCTCGCTGCAGAAAGAGAAGCTAGTCTCACAGTATGCAGAAAAGGAGAAGGAGGTAAGGAGCGCTCTGACGAATATGGAGACAAAGTACTCCCTTATGAAGAAGGAGGCTGAAGACCTGCAGCCTTTGAAAATGTCATCTCTTCAGCTGGAACGAACGAAAAAGATCAAAGAGCTGGAGAAGGAATTGCTGGTCACAAAGATACATCATTCAGACGAAATGCACAACGTAAAGATCAGATTTCTGCAGGCCAAGGCTGACTACAACACGGACTCTCATCAGAAGATCCAAGCTCTCACCAAGAGAGCAGAAGACGCAGCGACACGATCTCTAATTCAGCACATCAAACAAGTGAAAGAAGAGAATAGCCATCTGCTCCAGGAACTGCTCAGACTCATCGAATACTCAAAAATCCTTAAAGAAACCAAAGTTCAACTGCTGGAGGAGCAGCAGCAGCTTGTTCGGGAGGTGCAATACATCCAGGACATGGCACACACGCGCCACAGCCTGCACGAGCACGAGGCACACAGTGCAAGTGCCAAGCTCTAACAGCCTGTTCAGACGTGTCCATTAACCTAAAAAACCACTTCTCCACTCCTCACTTATGTCAATATACCAGTAGGCACGGCCAGACTGTCGGCTGCTGTTAGTATCAGTTAGGTAACAGTCCGCAGTAGTAAATGCTTTGTGGGTGGACGAAAGGATTGGTTTACGCAGGTCAAGCCCAGCGTGCAATCCAGACCTCACCTTGAACTTTCATGACATTTGTATTAAGACATTTGAAACTGCAATCCTTTCCTGTCGCAAAATAAACAATGACATTTGCCTGAGAGACTTTGATGTTTCGTTAACTGGTAATTTTTCATGGGCAAATCATACTCTTAGACATAGTGAGGCAATCTCTATGTTACTTTTCACTGCAAACTGCATCCACCAATACCACAGTAGTAACCAAGGTATGCCAGCTCTTACTTTCAGCAACACTCATTATCCCAGATCTTCTACATGGTAAAGACTTTATTTTACCTTCTGCTAGTCTCCAAAGGAGAGAAAACAAATACACAAACAATCAAATTATTTAAACAATAAAAGAAGTTGAGGTATTTGACCCTTGGTCATAACTATCAATATATTCATTGAATATATTCTTATCAAATTTTACTTCCTTCTCATTCTTTTCTTGGTTTAGTATTTTACTTGAGAAGCCAAAGGTAAAGAGTTCTGTTTCTAACAGGCTGCAGCTACATTCACTTCCCAGGTTGAACAGCTCTCCATTTTGATTACCTCATCAACAATGACACCAGAGGTCACCCTTACTCTAAGTTTTAACACTCACGTAGCAAGTGTTCACGCATTCGCACAGTTGAGACTAGAAGGCACCTGAAGGTGAACTAAAGCAGGGACACTTTCAGTGGCTTCTGAGTACCTCCAAGGACAGAGGCCACAGCCCCTCTGTGTAGCCTGTTCCAGTGTCTGACTACATTCACAGAAAAAAAGAAAAATCTTATATTTAAATTGAACTACATTTCAGTTTCAGAATAACCTGGCTCTGCCTTCCCCCCTGCTCCACCTCGTATTTAAATGTATTAGTAAGATTGTCTCAGCCTTCTCCCGGCTAAAGAGTCCCAGCTCTCAGCCTCTTCCCGCATCACAGATGCTCCAAGCCTCAGCCATCTTTGAGGTCCTTTGCTGGACACAATCCTGTATGTCCTTGTCTATCTCATAGCGGAGAGCCCAGATCCGTACAAGATACTCCAGGTGTGGTCTCTCAGTGTTGCGTAAAAGGGCCGGATCATCTCCCTCAAACAGCTGGCAATGCTCCTCCTAGCACAGCCTTTGCTGCAAGAGCACATCTGCTAGCGCAGATCAACCCACCAGGGCCTCCGGGTCCTGCCCTGCTGGACAGCTGCCGGGCTGTACCGCTGCCTGGGGATTATTCCTCCTCGCAGGCAGGACTTGGCATTTTTGCAGTGACAAAGTTCCCCATGCTCCTGTTGGCCCATTTCTCCAGCCTCAACAGCAGCAGCACGACCATCTACTCACAGGCACCTGTTAAATGCTCAGAGTCCAATAGGTTAATTGATAAATTTATTTGTAAAATGTTACAATAAAA